CGCTGACCCCAAACCACAACTCCTGACCCTAAATCTCCACTTTGTTCCCCAAAACTTGATTCTGAAAGTGGATACTTCAAGCCAAGGGTTAAGGTTTGAGTCAAGTTTGTGGTAATGTGCAGAGACCAGATTTCGGGCCGAACCACTCCAAGACTGGCACATGGAGAGAAGAATGGGGTCCAGGCTTGGGGTTTTGGGGAAGGGTCCAGAGAATGGAGATACGTGGTGACCGGGGAACAGGAACACAGCCAAATGCAAACAAAACATGAGAGTGACCAATACCTGCAGCAGCACCCCAACCAGCACTACCAACAACACTTCTGCCACAGAAATAGGATCCGGAATCTTCGTCCTTGAGGTTGTTCATGGTCAGCGACACCGAGCTCTGCCCGTTGTCCCTGGAGATCCTGAACCGGCCCTTGACGGAATCCGCGTACCAGGGGGTGCCACCGGTGTTACTGACACTCGCGACCCACTCCAGCTCCTGCCCGCGTCTCTGGCGATACCAGCTCACGTGGAAACCACCGGAACAGAACCCGGACCCTCGGCAGAGGAGGCGCAGGGACCCCTCGGGGGGCTGGAGGTGCCCTCCGCACTCCAGCAGGGTCACAGCAGCCCGGAGCCCTGCGGGACAAAGGGGAGATGCGGATGAGAGACCTGAGTGTGTCGTAGGATGGGGACCAGGACACCAGCTGGTTCATCACAGGTCCGGTTTATTGAAGAAACCATCAAACACTTATACAGCAAATAATAAGTTTATGAATATTCTATAAGCCAAGCAATCTATTGGTTAAACTATACCATGAACTCTTCCTCATTCCTTAGGGGTTACATCTCTCTTTTCTCATGTCTCTTTCACTGTTTTTTTTCCTACTGAAGCTAGGCCCAAGTACACGCTATCTCACAGGTGCAAGATTTGGAATTAGCCACGGGTTTGTACTTTTCCATTCTCTAGTCTGCTAAATTTCCCAACACCAAACCACAACTCCTGACCCCAAATCTCCTCTTTGTGCCCCATAACTTGGCTCTGAAGGTCGGGGTTTGAGGCCCAGGGTCCCGATTTGGGGACAAAGGTTGTGGATTCGTGTCAGTGGCTGTGGCTGGGAGCGCTAAGTGAGGATTTGGGGCAGAATTGGGTGAGTTTTGGGGCCAAAGCAGTTGGGTTTGGGGCACGACCACTTTGGGGGTTTTGGATCTATGGTTGGTGGTGTGGGAAATGGGGGAGATCTGGGACAAAGGGTCAGGAATGGGGACACGGACTGAGATTTGGGGGAAGTTTCTGGGGATTGGGGACAGGAGGGGATCCCGTCAAGGACAAGAGGCCAAGAGCAGAGACATCATTACCCCACCTGGCACCAGCAGCCTTGGCTCAGAAATAGGATCCGGAATCCGCGTCTTTGAGGTTGTTCATGGTCAGCGTCACCGAGCTCTGCCCTTTGTCCCTGGAGATCGTGAACCGGCCCTTGACCGATGGCGCGTACTCGGTGTTACCACCACTGCTGATCCCTGCGAGCCACTCCAGCCCCTGCCCGGATCTCTGATGGATCCAGAACATTCCATTAACGCCAAAACTGAACCCGGACCCTCGGCAGAGGAGGCGCAGGGACCCCCTGGGTTCCCCCCCGGACTCCAGCAGGGTCATGGCCTCTTCCTCGTCCCCAAACCTTCACTGATTTTGCCCCAAATTTCCTTTTGTCGGGGCCCAAATATCTAACAGAAAATTCCTGTATGGAAAAGTTCCCTAAACCCTGCAATTAGACCCAATCCATCCATAAATTAATTGGACAGCTCTGGTGGACCTTTGCATCGCCCCGTCCCCATCTCCCCTTTGGACCTCCAGCCCCCCGGGGGGCCCCTACGCCTCCTCTGCCGAGGGTCCGGGTTCAGTTTCAGCAGTTTCCCCATGCAATGGATCCTCCAAAGATCTGGGCAGGCGCTGGAATACGTTGCGGGGATCTGGAGCAGTGGTGCTTACATCTACTACTGTCCATCGGTCAAAGGCCGGTTCACGACCTCCAGGGACAAAGGGCAGAGCTCGGTGACGCTGACCATGAACAACATCAAGGACGAGAATTCCGGATGGTATTTTTGTTCCAGGGGTGCTGATGATAATGGTGCTGTTAATGATGCCTATGGCATTGATGCCTCGCCATGGCTGTGTCCCCCCCTTTCCGCATTCCCCAGACCCTTCCCCAATCCCCAGCCCCTGACCCCATTCCTGTCCCTGTGTCCCAGCTCTGAGCTGGCTCTGCCCCACATTCTCAGCTCCTGGCCCCAAACCTCACCTCTGGGCTCCACGTCTCAGCCTAGGTCTCCAAACCTGGGTGCAAATGGCCAAGATTTTGGGAAAATCGGTCAGATTTGGGTCTGTGGGAGACACCAATGGGGTCAAGGGCTGGAGGGAAGGATCGGGGGAACGGGGTAGGGGGGCACACAAGGACGGGAATGGGGTCCAACAGCAGCACCAGCAGCATAAGCACCCCAACCAGCAGAAGCACATTTGGCACAGAAATAGGATCCGGAATCCTCGTCCTTGAGGTTGTTCATGGTCAGCGTCACCGAGCTCTGCCCGTTGTCCCTGGAGATCATGACCCGGCCCTTGAACGCAGACGGGTATCTGGTTTATCCATCGCTGTCAATGCCTGCGAAAAATTCCAGCCCCTGCCCGGGTCTCTGGCGCACCCAGCTGATCCCAAATTGTCCAAAACTGAACCCGGACCCTCGGCAGAGGAGGCGCAGGGACCCCCCGGGGGGCTGAAGGTCCCCCCTGTACTCCAGCAGGGTCACGGCTGCCCGGGGCCCATCCCCAAATCTTTACCAATTTCCCTCATAACTCCACTGGTTTGGTCCCAAATCTCCATCACATTTTTCCGGAATCCTGAGGTCACTCAAACCCTACAAGTTAACTCAATATTCTCATTAATTAATTGCACACCTTGACCTGAGTGTTCCACATTGATTTCAAAACTAAAACCAGCATTAACCATCCCCAACCCAGGCACATCACGGCCATGGCCTCGAGCTCCCTCCGGCTCCTGGCCCTGCTGCTCCTGCTGCCCCTCCCAGGTGGCCCCACCCCTTTTCCCCTTCTGAACCAATCAGGTTTCTGATCCCCATCTCCCCTTTGTCCCGCAGGGCTCCGGGCGGCCGTGACCCTGCTGGAGTGCGGGAGGGACCTCCAGCCCCCGGGGGGGTCCTTGCGCCTCCTCTGCCGAGGGCCCGGGTTTGATTTTGGGAATTTTGCCATGAACTGGGTTGGACAGAGACCCGGGCAGGGGCTGGAATGGGTCGCCTACATCAGCAACACTGGTGCTTACATCTACTACGCGCCATCGGTCAAGGGCTGGTTCAGGATCTCCAGGGACAACGGCAGAGCTCGGTGACGCTGACCATGAACAACCTCATGGAAGAGGATTCCGGATCCTATTTCTGTGCCAAAAGTTGGGCTGGTCGTTGTGGTCCTGCTGCTGGTAAAGACATTGATTGGGATGATGTTGGTCATGGTGGTTTTTTTCTGAGTCCTTTTTTTTGAGCCTCCCAGTCCCCAAACCCAGACCCTCCCCCCGAACCTCAGCCCTTGACCCTTTGTCCCAAATCTCCCCCATTTGCACCAATGGTCAGCACTGACCCCAAACCCTCCCCTGCTCCTGCCCCAAAACTCAACCATTGGCCCCAAACCTTCACCCCTGGCCTCCAGTTCAGGCCTCCTCCAATCAGGGCCCGGGAGCTGGGGGAGATTTGGGTGAAATGGGAACAATTGGGATAAAGTAGAATGTTGGGGCAAACATGGTGGGCACTGGGGGAGAAGGTCAAGAATGGGGTCAAGGGTTGAGATTTGGGGCAGGATTTGGGGATTTTGGGACATTTGGTGAGCCAGGGATGGGGGTTTGGGGCCACCACCAGCATCGTCACCATGTCCAGAGCTCCCAGAGAGGATTCCAGCCCAGCCCCAAGGAGCAGCACCAGACACCGAGGCCGCTGAGTGAGAAGTGAAGCCCCAGGTGGGAGCAACGGAGGGAGGGAGGGAGGGAGGAGCAGACACGGCGATTTTGGGGCTCCGCAGCCTCCCCCCACTTCCTCCCCGGCAGCTGCCGGGGCCCGGCCGGGGCGGGAAGGGAATCAGAAAGTTCCTGGTTTTGGTCATTGTGAACATCTGTGTTTGGCAGAGGGCAGCTCAGCCTCGGGGTGCTGCGGCAGAGCGCCGGCTGCACAAAAAGCTTTGTGTTCAAAGGGCCCTGGAGCGATCCCCGTTCCGCACTGGGATGGAGGGGAAGGGACAGGCTGGGGAGGAATGGGGAAAATTGGGGCGAAACTGGGAATTGGGGAAGTGATGGTGGCATTTGGCGGAAATGGTCAAGATTGGAGAAAGAGGGGTTGGGTTTTTTGGGAAGGATCAGAGAATTCTGAGATATTTGGGAACACAGAACAAAAGGCTTGGGGCCACAACCACCATCAACACCATAAGCAGCACCACCACCACCCCAACTACTGCTGTAACAGAAATAGGTGGCGGAATCCTCGTCCTTGAGGTTGTTCATGGTCAGCGTCACCGAGCTCTGCCCGTTGTCCCTGGAGATCGTGAACAGGCCCTGCACCGACGGCGCGTAGCAGGTGCTGCCACTGCTGGTGATCCCTGCGAGCCTCTCCAGCCCCTGCCCGGGTCTCTGGCGGATCCAGCCCAGCCCAAAACTTCCAAAATCGAACCCGGACCCTCGGCAGAGGAGGCGCAGGGACCCCCTGGGGGACTGGAGGCCCCCCCTGCACTCCAGCAGGGTCACGGCCGCCCAGAGCCCTGCGGGACAAAGGGGAGATGGGGATGAGGCCAAAGCTCAACCCTTGACCCAAATCCTGACCCTTGGCCCAAATTGGGACCCCTGGAATTCATCATCCTCCTGCCAGGTGGGTCCTGTCCCATTTTTGAAGCATGCCATGCAAAGTTGGGCACTCTTTACCAATCAGGTTTCTCATCCCCATCTCCCCTTATTCCCACAGGGCTCCGGGCGGCCGTGACCCTGCTGGAGTGCGGGGGGGACCTCCAGCCCCCCGGGGGGTCCCTGCGCCTCCTGTGCCGAGGGTCCAGGTTCACTTTTTTCCAATTTGGGGTGGGCTGGATCCGCCAGAGACCTGGGCAGGGGCTGGAGTGGCTCGCGGAGATCACCAACACTGGTGGAAACATCGGCTACGCGCCATCGGTCAAGGGTCGGTTTAGGATCTCCAGGGACAACGGGCAGAGCTCGGTGACGCTGACCATGAACAACCTCAAGGACGAGGATTCCGGATCCTATTTCTGTGCCAGGGCTTTTTGTGCCGGTTGTTGGGCTATTGCTAATCATGGTGACAATGCTGTTGATAGCGTCAAACTTCTAGTTTTTGCTCCTGTCCTATCATTGGATCTCCAAATTTTCGATTTTCGTCCCAAACCTCACCTCTTGTCTCAGATCTTGACCCTTTGTCCCTATTTGCATCAATGGTCAGCACTGACCCCAAACCCTCACCTGTTTCTGCCCCAAAACTCAACCATTGGCCCCAAACCTTCACCCTGACCCTTTGTCCCTGCCCTGCCCCCGTTGCCCCAACGCTGCCCATTGGCCCCAAACCCTCCCCTGGGTCTGGCCCCAAACTCAACTCTCGGCCCCAAATCTCACCCTGGTCCCCCAAAAGTGCCCAAAGGGCTGAGATTTTGGGTGAAATTTGGTAAATTCTGGCACCAACTCAGTTGGGTTTGGGGCACCACAGACGGGGTTTGGCGTCTTTGGTCACCATGGGTGGAAATGGGGCAGGTCTGGGACAAAGGGTCAGATGATGGAACTGGGGTGTGGGGGAAGGGTCTTCGGCTTTGGGGACAGGTGGGGACACAGCGATGGCGATGGATCCACCAATGGTGCATTTACAAATAGCAGGAGGGCCCCAATTATCAGCATAAACACGTTTGGCACAGAAATAGGATCCGGAATCCTCGTCCTTGAGGTTGTTCATGGTCAGCGTCACCGAGCTCTGCCCATTGTCCCTGGAGATCCTGAACCGGCCCTGGACTGAATCCGCATACCCGGTGCTCGAACCATTGTTCCCGATCCCAGCGACCCACTCCAGCCCCTGCCCGGGTCTCTGGCGGACCCATTGCATGGCAAAACTGCCGAAACTGAACCCGGACCCTTGGCAGAGGAGGCGCAGGGACCCCCCGGGGGGCTGGAGGTGCCCCCCGCACTCCAGCAGGGTCACGGCTGCCCGGAGCCCTGCGGGACAAAGGGGAGATGGGAATGAGAAACCTGATTGGCTTCTGACCAGAAGTGAACATGGCCATGCCAGAAAAAGCGTGTGGGACCCAACTTGGAGAGGCAGCAGGAGCAAAACAACCAGGATGGGATGGTCCATGGTTCACAGTTTAGGGCCAAGGGTAAGGATTTGGGTCAAGGGTTGAGCTTTGGCCTCATCCGCATCTCCCCTTTGTCCCACAGGGCTCCGGGCGGCCGTGACCCTGCTGGAGTGCGGGGGAGAACTCCAGCCTCCCGGGGGGTCCCTGCGCCTCTTCTGCCGAGGGTCCGGGTTCAGTTTTGGGAATTTTGATATGTACTGGATCCACCAGAGACCCGGGCAGTGGCTGGAGTGGCTCGCAGGCATCTACAGCAGTGGTTCCAGCACCGCATATGCGCCATCGGTCAACTGCCGGTTCACGATCTCCAGGGACAACAGGCAGAGATCGGTGACGCTGACCATGAACAACCTCAAGGCCGAGGATTCCGCCACCTATTTCTGTGCCAAGAGTGTTCGTGCTGGTGCTGGTGCTAATACTGCGTATGCTCTTGGCTCTTCCCCCATGGCTGGGCCCCCTCCTGTCCCCGTTCCCCTGGCCCTTCCCCCAAACCGCAGCCCCTGACCCCATTTCCTCACCCTCTGTCCCAGCCCTGCTCCGGCTCTGCCCCAAATGTCCCCTCTGGGCCACACTCAGTGCCCTCGTTCCTCAAATTACATTTAATTTTTCAAAATTTGGGGCCAAAGTTAAGGTAAGGAGTCAAAAATTCAAATTTTGGCCCGAAATTGCCGATGTCAGTCCAATGGGCCAGATTTGGGTCTGTGGCTGTGACTTGGTGCCTGCAGGAGAGATTTGGGGGAAAACTGGACAAGTCTGGGGGCAATGGTTGGGATTAGAGGGACGAGGCCGAGCTCAGCGTGAAACCGGCCCTGATTTGGGGCCAGGAGCTGAGATTTGGGGCCAGGAGCTGAGATGTGGGTTCAGAGCAGGGCAAAGTTGAGACAAAGGGCAGGAGTGGGGTCAGGGGTTGGAGGGAATTGTCTGGGAAACGGGGACAGGTGAGTCCCAATAGCCGGCCAATAGCACCAACATTATAACCACCAACAGCAGCAGCAGCAGATTTGGCAAAGAAATAGGATCCGGAATCCTTGTCCTTGAGGTTGTTCATGGTCAGCGTCACCGAGCTCTGCCCGTTGTCCCTGGAGATCGTGAACCGGCCCTGCACCGATGGCGCGTACATGGAGCTCCAGCCCTCCTTCCTGATGCTCCCGACCCATTCCAGCCCCTGCCCGGGTCTCTGGCGGACCCAGAACATAGTGATACCGCCGACATCGAACCCGGACCCTCGGCACAGCAATGTCAGGGACCCACCGGGGGGCTGGAGGTCCCCCCCGCACTCCAGCAGGGTCACGGCCACCCGGAGCCCTGCGGGACAAAGGGGAGATGGGGATGAGAAACCTGATTGGCTGTGGGCCTGCATTGGGCAAGTCCAGCTGGGAAAAGGAATTGCACCCACACGGTAGGGTCACCAGTGTGAGGAGGAGGACAAAGTGCCACAATCTGGGGCCCAGAGTCAGGATTTGGGTCAAGGGTTGAGCTTTGGCCTCATCCGCATCTCCCCTTTGTCCCGCAGGGCTCCGGGCGGCCGTGACCCTGCTGGGGTGCGGGGGGACCTCCAGCCCCCCGGGGAGTTCCTGCGCTCCCTCTGCCGAGCATCCGGGTTCAGTTTCGGGAGCTATGACATATTCTGGATTCGCCAGAAACCCGGGCAGGGGCTGGAATATGTCGCAAGGATCCACAGCAGTGGTGCTTACGCCAACTACGCGCCATCGGTCAAGGGCCGGGTCACGATCTCCACGGACAACAGGCAGAGATCGGTGATGCTGACCATGAACAACCTCAAGGACGAGGATTCCGGATCCTATTTCTGTGGCAGAAGTGTTTTTGGTAGTGCTGGTTGGAACGCTGCTGCAGGTATTGGTCACTCTCATGTTTAGGTTGCATTTGGCCCTGTTCCTGTTCCCCGGTCCCCACCTATCTCCATTCTCTGGACCCTTCCCCAAAACTCCAAGCCTGGACCCCATTCCTGTCCCCATGTCCCAATCTTGGAGTGGTTAGGCCCGAAATCCGCTCTCTGCACATTACTACAAATTTGACTCAAACCTTAACCCTTGGCTTGAAGTATCCACTTTCAGAATCAAGTTTTGGGGCACAAAGTGGACATTTGGGGTCGCGAGTTGTGGTTTGGGGTCAGGGGTGAGATTTGGGGCCGAGGCAGAGCAAGGTTGGGATCTATGGCCAAGGGCTGGGTGTGGGCTGGGGGTCTGGAGGAAGGGTCTGGGCAACGGGGACGGGGGGGACGAGGAGATGGGGACAGCAAGGGCATCGTCACTATAATCAGCAGGAGCAGCACCCCCAGCACCAGGAGCTTTGACACACAAATAGGATCTGGAATCCTCGTCCTTGAGGTTGTTCATGGTCAGCGTCACCAAGCTGTTCCCGTTGTCCCTGGAGATCCTGAACCGGCCCTTGACTGACGGTGCGTACTCGGTGTAACCTCCACTGTCACTGATCCTTGCGACGTATTCTAGCCCCTGCCCGGGTCTCTGGCGGATCCAGCCCAGCCCAAAATTCCACAAACTGAACCCAGACCCTCGGCAGAGGAGGCGCAGGGACCCCCCGGGGGGCTGGAGGTCCCCCCCACACTCCAGCAGGGTCACGGCTGCCCGTGTTGGAAAAGAAATGAAATTGCGCAAAATGTGTAATTATAGTTTTGTTATGAGTTGTGTGTGAATTGGTTTGTTAAAAGCAGTTTTGCAGTTTTGCAGCCGTTGATAGTGTGTGTGTTTGGTTTGTGTGTAACTTAGCAGGTAGTCTTAGGAATTTAGTAAATAATTAAACTAGTGCAGGAGAGTAAGAATGCTAACCTGTCTGAAGGCAGCATACAATGCTCTTAGAATAAGATAAGCAGAAGATTTATGATCTTGCCTGTGAACTAAGGAATGTATCACAAGGGAACTGTTTCTTGGAGACTTTGTTGTGAATCGCATGTATAAGAGGGAAGCACCCATATGTGAAATCGGGGGCTTGGGTTTTTGGGACGTGAGTCCCTCAGCACCCCGGGCCCGTAATAAAGCACCCACAAAACTTATCCGAGTTTTGTGTCATTTATCAATCGGGCAGCAGTTTTTCTGGCGACCGCGGCAGGACTCCAAAGGCAGCTGGGGCGGTTCCGCGTCCCGATCCACTCCAAGCCGGCACCGAGCACTTCTCGGGGAGACATCGGTCATGCCCGACCCCGCGCCTGTTGGACAACTGCCAAGGTAAGCCTGAAGGTGCTTTATATTGGAAAAAGGTGATAATTGGATTTGGATTTGGTGGTTGGTAAAAAGCCTAGGCTCCGGCCATAAGACGTCTAAGGACGCAGGACCGGAACTCGCCTCCTGTTTTTGTTTGGGAAGGACGGCGAGAAGGTATATTGGTTTAAGATGTATTGGTTTACTGGAACTAAAGGTGGAATTAAAGGCTGTAATATGATGTCTTTTAAAACTTTTAAAACCTTTGTGCAAGCCAATGGTAAAATACCTGGAAATACGCCATTAGGTTGTATATTGAAATGGTGGAAAAGTGAGGGGTATTATCAAGAATTGGATAAAAGTAAAATGATAGATTATTGTAATCATTGGTGGCCTGAATGTGAGATTGGGCAAGCGGGATGGCCGGTGAATGGTACACTGGAATTGGAGATAATCGAATCTTTGATGCAATTTTTAAGGAGGAATGAGAAATGGGATGAAATACCATATTTGGATTTGTTTTTCGTTTTGTACCGGAAAGATGAATGGCAAAAGGAATGTGGTATTTTGGTTTTAGAAGTGAATGATGAAAGGGAGTGTGTGGGATGTAAAGAAAGAAAGGAGCGTAATTTGTATCCTTCAATTGAGGAAGATTTGTCTTACTGTATAGCACGCCCGAGGGCTCCGGTTGCTCCTAATGTGCCCCCTGCTCCCCCTGCGGATATAGCTATAAAAACGGGATCTAGTGAGAGTGATAGTGATGGTGGTGATGGTGAAAGGAATGAGAGTGTTAAAAGAACTCCGTTAGCAGGGCGGACTCGCAAGGGGAGGAAGGGGCAGAAGGGGCCACAGTTAATTGCGCCATTAAGGGAAGCTGTGGGACCACAGGGAGAAAGGATACTTATAAAGGTGCCTTTCTCCCCCGGGGATTTGGTAATATGGAAGCAATCAGCGGGGAGTTATCGGGAGGATCCTGAAAGGGTGGCAAGGGTGGTTAAAATGGTAATAAAGACTCAGAATCCGGACTGGAATGATTTACAGGTATTATTAGATACTATAATGGATTCCACAGAAAAGGAAATGGTTATTAAAGCCACTAGAGAAAAGGCTCGTGAGGAGATACGGTTGAGACAACTAAATGAAACAGTTGATGAATTGGTACCTAGTGAGGAACCAAGGTGGGACCCAAACTCTACGGGAGGAATAAGGGCTGTAAAACGATATCAGGAATTGTTGGTGGAAGGAATTAGGACAGGAATACCTAAGACTATGAACTGGTCTAAGCTGTATTCGGTCAAGCAGGACAAGAACGAGTCACCGTCTGCCTTTTTAGAACGATTAAAAGACATGGCTCGGAAGTTTACTAATTTAGATGTAGAGGATCAATCAGGAAAACTTCAATTGGCATTGTTGTTTATGGGGCAATCACAAGAAGATATTAGGAAAAAGTTACAAAAGTTGGAAGGAGAGGACACTGGAAGTTTGGACAAAATGTTGGAGGTAGCGTGGAAGGTATACAACAACAGGGAAAAAGAAACTGCAAAAAGACAACAAGCTAGTATTCTGGCTGTAATGCAACAGACAGGGGTAGGAGGAAGACCCATTAGGGGTCGAGGTCGGGGAGGACCTAATCACGGACAAAGGGGGCTGGCAAGAGGTCGGGGAGGATTTGGGTTTGCACCTAACACGGGGAGGTTGGATCCAAACCAGTGTGCGTTTTGCCGACAGTTAGGACACTGGAAAAATGAATGCCTGGTTAGAGGAGGTATGGGCATGGGAAACATAGGATTAAGGACAGGTCCAATGGGGAATGCTCCTGTGGGAGGATTCACGGGAGGACCAGCAGAAGTCGCTCAAGCACTAGTTTTGGGAAACTATCAGAATCAAGGCTGACTAGAAAAGGATCTTAGGGTAGTTTTAGAGATAGATGGAAAGGATCAAGAATTTATGGTAGACACTGGAGCAACCTATTCTGTACTTAATAGACTATTGGGACCTTTGAGTGACACAACAGTACAGGTGGTGGGGGCAACAGGGAAGCTAGAGGAACAACCATTTTTACAACCTTTAAATCTTAGGTTTGGGGGGAAGGAATTAGATCACCAATTCTTGTATATGCCAAACTGCCCCACACCCCTTCTTGGCAGAGACCTGTTGTCCCGACTTAATGTGAAAATAATATTTGAAGGGGGAAGGGTGAAATTGGAAATACCTGAGGAACAAATAGCAGGCATTTTTGTGATCAAGGAAGTGGATGCCTCTCCTATTCTAGAAGAAATTGAGCAGGCTGTAGTACCCTGGGTATGGGAGTCAGGGGTTCCCGGAAAATCTAAAGCTGCGCAGCCAGTAAAGGTGGAACTAAAGGAAGGGGCCCAACCAGTGAGGGTAAAGCAATACCCCTTGAAGCTTGAGGCAAGGAGGGGAGTAGCCCCATTAATTAAACAATTTTTGGCTCAAGGAATATTACAGGAATGTGAATCGGAGTATAATACTCCAATTTTTCCAGTAAAGAAACCTAATGGTAAGTACCGTTTGGTACAGGACTTAAGGGCTATTAATGAAATAGTGAAAGACATACATCCAGTTGTTGCTAATCCTTATACCTTGTTAACATCTGTATTGGAGGAGTTTAAATGGTTCTCAGTGATTGACCTTAAAGATGCCTTCTTCTGCATCCCACTGGCAGTAGAGAGTAGGAAATATTTTGCCTTCGAGTGGGAGAGTCCTGATTCTGGGAGAAAGAAGCAGCTTACATGGACCAGAATCCCACAAGGATTTAAATGGTCCCCCACTATTTTTGGAAATCAACTGGCCAAGGAGCTGGAGGAATGGAAGATAACCCAGGTAACAATATCCCCATCCTTGTATGTAGTCCTGCAGTACGTGGACGACATCTTTCTGGCTACTAAGGAAAGGGAAATGTGTGTGGAATTAACAATTAAATTACTCAACATGCTGGGCCAAGCAGGGTATCGGGTTTCTAAGGAAAAAGCTCAACTGGTCAAAAATAGCGTTATTTATCTCGGTTGTGAGATCACACAAGGGCAGAGACGTTTGGGAGTAAACCGAATAGAGGCAATATGTGCTATTCCTTTGCCTCGTAACCATCAGGAATTGAGATCTTTTCTAGGAATGGTGGGATGGTGTCGACTGTGGATCATGAATTTCGGTCTCCTAGCCAAGCCGCTGTATGAGGCCTTGAAGCAGCATCGGCTGGAGTGGACAACACAGCAAAAGAAGGCCTTCCAGGAATTGAAGCAGGCACTAAAGGAGGCCCCAGCCCTAGGACTCCCTGACCTGACCAAGGAATTCCAGTTGTACGTGAATGAGAGGCAAAAACTGGCATTGGGGGTCCTCACCCAGAAGGTGGGATCCTGGAAGAGGCCAGTGGGATACTTCTCTAAACAACTGGATTCGGTAAGTTCCGGGTGGCCCTCGTGTTTACGAGCTGTGGCGGCAACAATAATTCTTATTCAAGAGGCCCGGAAATTGACTTTGGGGGCAAAAATTAAAGTGTTTGTTCCCCATATGGTCATGGCTGTTTTGGAGCAAAAGGGGGGTCACTGGTTATCATCCAGTCGAATGTTGCAATACCAGGCTACCCTGAGAGAACAGGATGATATTGAAATAAAGACTACTAATCATGTTAATCCAGCAGAATTTTTACGCAGTGACCAGGAGGCTGGGGGACTGGTGCACGATTGCATAGACGTAATTGAACAAGTATATGCCAGCAGACCCGACTTAAAGGATGAACCATTGGAAGACCCTGAATGGGAACTATACACCGATGGATCCAGTTTTGTCGAGAATGGGACTCGCTGTGCCGGGTATGCAGTGGTAACATTGGATCAGGTAATAGAGGTAAGGACTTTGTTACCTGGAACTTCGGCCCAGAAGGCAGAGGTGATTGGACTCACCAGAGCCCTGTATTTGAGCAAGGACAAAAGGGTTAATATCCGGACAGATTCTAAATATTCCTTTGGTGTGGTTCATGTACATGGGGCGTTATGGAAGGAAAGGGGGCTATTGAATTCACAGGGAACCAACATCAAGCACCGGGAAGAAGTGCTACAGCTACTGGATGCAGTACATAGTCCCAAAGCAGTTGCAGTTATGCATGTTAGAGGACATCAGACTGCGGAAGGAGACGTTTACAGAGGAAACCGATTTGCTGATGTTACAGCACGGCAAGTGGCACGGGAAATATGGACTCAAATGGCATTGGTACCGGTAAGAACGAATCCGGCTACCCCTTACCTGAATCAGGAGCCCAAATATTCAATAGAAGATGGAAAACTAATAAACTTGCTAGGGGCACAGAGGAATCAACTTGGGTGGTATGTTACACCAATGGGACAAATAGTAGTACCTACTCGCATAATGAAATTTATTTTGGAATCAGAACATAACAAATGTCATTGGGGGGCAGAAGTATTGGTAAAATTTTTGAAAAATGAGATAATCTCTAATCAGATGTTAACAATGGCAAAAAGAGTTAATGCAATGTGCCCGGTATGTTTAGGAGACAAATACAAATGGGAAAGCTGCAAGTCGGGCCACAACCGGGAGATTACTGGCAAGTTGATTTTTCCGAATTGCCTAGGGCACAGGGATACAGATACTTGTTAGTGTATGTATGTACGTTTTCAGGGTGGCCAGAAGCTTTTCCATGTAGAACTAATCAGGCTAAGGAGGTGGTAAAAACCTTGTTAAAAGAAATAATACCAAGATTTGGAGTACCTTTAGGATTGTCATCAGATAGGGGTCCGCATTTTATAGCCGGGGTAGTGCAGGAATTAGCACGACTGTTAGATATAACCTGGAATTTGCATACCCCCTGGAGACCTCAGTCTAGTGGGCAGGTGGAAAGGATGAATCAAACCCTGAAAGTACAAATCAAAAAGATTTGCCAGGAAGCTTAGCTGCACTGGCCTCAAGCTTTGCCTTTGGCCCTACTCAGGATTCGAATTAAGCCAAGGGAAAAGGTAGGCGTAAGTCCATATGAGATACTATATGGCAAACCATATCATGCAACTGTATTACAAGGGGAGGTACATGTGAGTGGGGACCAGACAATTGCAGAGTATGTTATGTCACTTAATAAGATCTTGAATTCTTTAAGAAATACTTTACAGTGGAATAGACCGCTCATGCTGGAGAATTCGGTCCACGACATTCAGCCTGGGGACCAGGTGTACGTCAAGAAGTGGATCACGGATCCTCTACGGGAATCATGGAGTGGACCCCACCAGGTGATGATGACGACCTACACGGCGGTGAAGGTCCTGGGGATGGATGCTTGGATCCATTACACCAGGGTAAAGAAGGCACCGTTCCAATGGGAAACCCAGATAGTGTCTCCAACCCGGATGATCTTCCGCGCAAAGCCGCCTTCTTAATTATATTACTGCTAGTGATCATGAGACTATTACCCGTTCAAGGGTCTACTCTAGTACAGGTTGAAGAAACAAAGGTTACAGTCATGGAAGGGATGGATGTTCAATTAACTTGTGTTATATTTGACATCCAGAGAGTTGAGGCGGTGAAGTCATTGCAATATGGCAATGGGGGGCTGAAAGAAGCCGAGGCAAGATCGGAGTCGGTTGGGATCAGGATAAACAACAAGGAAACACGGTACTGAATCTTACTAAGGTAACCACAAACGATACAGGAGAATATACATGTTTGGTCAAGATATGGGATGGTTTTGATTACAAAAGAGTGAGTATGAGGGTTTTGCCATGGACAGGGGATCGTGCTGAAAACATAAAGGTTGATCCAGTATCAATGGCAGCGGACATGTGGGATGGGTCACCCCTTAGAATAAATTGTTCCTTCCTAGTAAGATCAAGATATCAAAGGAACCTATGGGTCAAAAGGTGGAGGCAAAATAGGGAACTGACCTGGGACAGAATAGAGGACAGGACAGTTGGTGGGAGAAGGAAGGCAAAGGTTGTGGGTGGTTGAATGTCACTAATCGTAGAATAGGAAATGCATGGTGGAGGCATGACAGAATGATGTTATCCTTACAGAGACACGGTAGAAGGGGTAGACGGGAGGCTAATGATACAATAGAACGGAATACTGAGCAGGAAAACTTAGTGGTAGGATTAATTAGAGATTTTGGGATCATGCAGAACGTGACTAAAATAACAGCTTGCCTACCATTACCACAGGCTGCAGGTGAACCTATTCCCTGGGGAATAATACCGGTAACCAAAATGCCTGAAACATTTAAGAATGTTTCATGGTCCTGCCAGTCAGTTCCCAAACCAGTGGATGTATGGAGGGATTTGTGTATGACCATTCGGGCTATGACTAGAGAGGAATGTGAAAAGAAACCCAATCATTATGGTTGGATTCAAAATACCAGGAGGTGTTTAATTGCAACCCCAATAGATGAGCCATGCAATACAGCACGAATAAGAACGAAATCCCACCGAAATGAGATGAGTTGTCAGAATGTCACACAGAATTTTGAAACCTGGAATAGTTGGAAGACATTATGGGGACCTAGTGTTTTGGAACACTATAATTACCTTGGGGAAGTACAATGGTGCATCCAATGGTCAGGAGTAAAGAATCAGTCACATTATAGGGCCCTCATCACATCTACATCTTCCCGAGAGTTCAGACCGCAGAAAGAGGATTGGAATTGTACTGAGGTTTTTACATGTGATACACCGGAAGACCGAATTGGATTGGTACCGGTGAAAATGGCATTAAAGTGGGGATGCGAGTGTAGGGGATATGATCATACGGTTAGCAAAGAGTCCATGGAGGGACCTATAGATTGCAGATATACTACTGTGCATAGCCCTAGAAATCTAGTCTGGGTGTTGGGACATGGACAGTGGACCGCACATTTACCTCTAGATGGATCAGTAACACAAATCACCCTAGGGGTTCCCACATTGTGTCCATACTGGAAACAGAATAGATTGATCCAAAGGAAAGCACTCAGAAAGAGGGAAGGATCCCTAGAGGAGCAGTGGCATGAACCTGGCTCAGGAGTACACTTTGGATGGATATTAGAATCATTATTCCCTCCGGTAGCGACATATCGAAATAGGGAAATGCTCAACAACTTGTTAGGACAGACAGAAAGGTTGGCAGCAGCTACTAAGAAGGGATTTAAAGATCTAAATTTGCAATTGCAAGCTACATCAAGAATGACCCTACAAAACAGAATGGCATTGGATTTGCTACTGTTAAGAGAACATGGAGTTTGTGGTTACCTGAGTAGGAGAATAGATCATTGCTGTGTACACATTCCAAATGTTACACTTGAAATTGAGAAAGATATTTCTTAACTGGCAGAAGTGGAAACAAAAACCAAGGAAATTGAAAAGGAAGCACAGCATAACTGGATAGGAGCAGTATTTGATTCTTTGGGGCTTCACCTGTCTGGCTGGATTACATCTGCTATACAGTATGCACTAATGTTTTTAGTATTTTTAGTGACTATATGGATTGTATATAGATGCCTCTTAGGAGTGATCGAAAAGGAAAAGAAGCGATCTCTCCGGTTGCTGAAGGCCATGACCCGCGGGCGGCAGAATGAAGAACACTCCCCACCTCGTTATGAAGATGTTACTGTCAATACTGTTGATTGAGCATCCTTGCAGTAGGACTGAAGGATGCTCAAAAGGGGGGAAATGTTGGAAAAGAAATGAAATTTAGCAAAATGTGTAATTATAGTTTAGTTATGAGTTGTGTGTGAATTGGTTTGTTAAAAGCAGTTTTGCAGTTTTGCAGCCGTTGATAGTGTGTGTGTTTGGTTTGTGTGTAACTTAGCAGGTAGTCTTAGGAATTTAGTAAATAATTAAACTAGTGCAGGAGAGTAAGAATGCTAACCTGTCTGAAGGCAGCATACAATGCTCTTAGAATAAGATAAGCAGAAGATTTATGATCTTGCCTGTGAACTAAGGAATGTATCACAAGGGAACTGTTTCTTGGAGACTTTGTTGTGAATCGCATGTATAAGAGGGAAGCACCCATACGTGAAATCGGGGGCTTGGGTTTTTGGGACGTGAGTCCCCCAGCACCCCGGGCCCGTAATAAAGCACCCACAAAACTTATCCGAGTTTTGTGTCATTTATCAATCGGGCAACACCCAGAGCCCTGCGGGACGAAGGGGAGATGGGGATGGGGCGATGCAAAAGTCAGGCAGAGGTGTCCAATTAATTAATGGGTGGATTTGGGCTCATTGCAGGGTTTAAGGAATTTTTCAATACAGGAAACCTCTGCTGGACATTTGAGGCAAGAAAAAAGGATTCTGGGGCAAAAGCAGAGAAGCTTTGCGGATGGGGGAGTGGCCGTGACCCTGCTGGAGTGCGGGGGGGGACCTCCAGCCCCCCGGGGGCTCCCTGCGCCTCCTGTGCCGAGGGTCCAGGTTCAGTTTTGGCAATTTTGGGATGGGCTGGATGCACCGGAGACCCGGGCAGGGGTTTGAGTGGGTCGGAACCATCACCAGCAGTGGTGGCGTCACCAGGTACGCGGATTCCGTCAAGGGCCGGGTCACGATCTCCAGGGACAACGGGCAGAGCTCGGTGACGCTGACCATAAACAACCTCAAGGACGAGGATTCCGGATCCTATTTCTGCACCAAGGACACCGATGGTCACGGTGCTTATGCTGATGCTGGTTGGGGAGGATGGAACAGCAAAGCCTTATCAATATGGGTATATTGATAATATCAATAAGTCGGGTAAAAAACTTTGAGAATATGGAGACCATCAGAGAGATTGAAATGAAAGCAAGCTTTGAGATGCCTCAGGGACTGAACAACTGGAAAACAACGGCGTGGCCGGCTGAAGGTGATCCCATTTTGATGGAACAACACCCTCTGCCTGCAGACAGCTCCAAGGGTCAGAGCGACCCTACAGCTTGGCAGAAGGGCCCAAAGAGGAGTTTTTAGGGTTTAAAGTTACTCCAAAAAGGAGTTTTTAGGGTTTAAAGTTCTTCCAAAGAGGAGTTTTTAGGGTTTAAAGTTGCTCCAAAGAGGAGTTTTTAGGGTTTCCAAAGAGCAGGTTTTAGACTTGGCAGAAGGGTGCCAAAGAGGAGTTTTTAGGGTTTAAAATGTAATAGAGTACGGTAATGAAATGATTCTTTTAGGGTGTATGGAAATGCTGTAGGGTTTGTATATTGTATTAGATTGGTTAGTGAGAATTAGAATATTCTACAGAGAAGAAGATTTATTGTATTGTGGTGGGAACCTCACTCTCTTACCCTTTTAGTCTCTTAGAGTTTTATGTTTTTACCCTTTTACACTCTTACCATTTTATTCACTGACTCTTTCACTCTCTTAGCCTTTTTATTCTCTCACCCTTTCACTCATTCACCTTTTTTACTCTCTTACTCTCTTCCTGTCTCATCCTCTCTCCCCTCTCTTCTCTCAGCCCTGCTCCAGCTGTGCCTGGCAGCTCCCAGCAGGGCCCTGCAGTTCGTCCTTTGCAATAAACCCCAAATTCCAGACCTGGCTGCAGAGATCTCTCGTATCCGTCCGTCTGTCCCGACCGTCCTGCTCCCGGATGCTCCTGCAGTGCTGGATGGGGAATGGGGCCAAGCCCGGCACGTCAATAGAAGCAACACCATAAGTACCATCAGGAGTATAAGCATATTTGGCACAGAAATAGTATCCGGAATCCTCGTCCTTGAGGTTGTTCATGGTCAGCGTCACCGAGCTCTGCCCGTTGTCCTTGGAGATCGTGAACCGGCCCTTGACCGAATCCGCGTAGGTTGTGCTGCCAGTGGTGTTGATATCTGCAATGAACTCCAGCACCTGCCCGGGTCTCTGGCGGATCCAGGCCATCACAATAATCCCAAAATCGATCCCGGGCGCTCAGCAGAGGAGGCACAGGGATCCCCCGGGGGGCTGGAGGTCCCCCCCACACTCCAGCAGGGTCACGGCCGCCCGGAGCCCTGTGGGACAAAGGGGAGATGGGGGTGAGTGGATGCAAAAGTCAGGTGGAGGTGTCCAATTAATTAATGGGTGAACTGGGGCTAAATGCACGGTTTAAGGCACTTTATCATTCTGGAAAACTCTGTTGGAGATTTGGGGACAAACAAAGGGAATTGGGGGCAAAACCAGTGAAGGTTTGGGGATCGGAGAGCGGCCGTGACCCTGCTGGAGTGCGGGGGGAACCTCCAGCCCCCCGGGGGGTCCCTGCGCCTCCTCTGCCGAGGATCCGGGTTCAGTTTCGGCAGTTTCAGAATGTTCTGGATCCGCCAGAGACCCAGGCAGGGGTTGGAATACGTCGCAGCGATCAAGAACGATGGATCCAGCTACGCCTACGCATCATCAGTGCAGGGCCGGTTCAGGATCTCCAGGGACAACGGGCAGAGCTCGGTGACGCTGACCATGAACAGCCTCAAGGACGAGGATTCCGGATCCTATTTCTGCGTGAAAGCTGCCTCTGATACTTGGGGTGCTGCTGCTGATGGTATTGACCCCATCCCCATGGCCGTGTCCCCACCCTTCCAGGTTCCCCAGACCCTTCTCCCAAACTCTGCCCCTGACCCCATTTCTGACCACATCTCCCAACCCTGCCCTGGCTCTGCCCCAAATTCTCCACTCTTGGCCACAAAATTGACCGAAATCTTAACCCTTGACCAGAAGTATCCACTTTCAGAATCAAGTTTTAGGGCAGAAAGAGGAGATTTGGGGTCAGGAGTTGTGGTTTGGGGTCAGCGGGTGAGAATTGGGGCCGAGGCAGAGCAAGGTTGGGATCAATGGTCAAGGGCTGGGTGTGGGCTGCGGGTTTGGGTGAAGGGTCTGGGAACGGGGACAGGGGGGGACACGGGGATGGGGACACAACCATCATCATCACCTCAATTAGCAGCAGGACCACCAACACCTATACCAGAAGATTTCTCGCAAAAATAAACGGCGGAATCCTCATCCCTGAGGTTGTTCATGGTCAGCGTCACCGAGCTCTGCCCGTTGTCCCTGGAGATCCTGAACCGGCCCTTGAAGGATGGATTGCAGTAGGTGTTCCCACTGCTGGCGATCACCGCAAGACCCTCCAGAGTCTGCCCGGGTTTCTGGCACATCCACATCATCCCAAAACTGCCGAAACTGAACCCGGACCATCGGCAGAGGAGGCGCAGGGACCCCCCGGGGGGCTGGAGGTCCCCCCCGCACTCCAGCAGGGTCACGGCCGCCCGGAGCCCTGCAGGACAAAGGGGAGTTTGGGATGAGGCCAAACCTCAACCCTTGACCCAAACCCTGAACCTTGGCACTAAATTACGACCCTGGGAGTTCATCATCCTCCTGTCAGGGCGGTCCCGCCCCTTTTTACAGCAAGCCACACCTACTTTGACCCCACAGCCAATCAGGTTTCTCATCCTCATCTCTCCCCTTTGTTCCGCAGGGCTCCGGGCGGCCGTGACCCTGCTGGGGTGCGGGGGGGACCTCCAGCCCCCTGGGGGGTCCCTGACGTTGCTGTGCCGCGCATCTGGGTTTGATTTTGGCCATTTTGGGATGGGCTGGATGCGCCAGAGACCCGGGCAGACACTGGAATACATCACCAGTATCAGCAACAGTGGTGGCAGCACCGACTACGCGCCATCAGTCAAGGGCCGGTTCACGATCTCCAGGGAGAACAGGCAGAGCTCGGTGACGCTGACCATGAACAATCTCAAGGTCGAGGACTCCGGATCCTATTTCTGTGCCAAATGTGCTACTAGTGGTTATGGTGGTGGTGTTGCTGCTTTTAGTGACAATTCCAGCAGTGGCCCCAGCCCTATGACGGTCACTAGATGTCTCCACTCCCAGTCATCCTTCCTCCAGAGCCCAGCTTTTCTCCCAAGTGTTAAAGAGTTTCCCCCAAACTCCGCCCCTGCTGCCTACACCCTACACTTTCACTCAATTTTGCCAATTTCACACAAATCTCCCCTAGCTCCCTGGGCCCTGATTGGAGGAGGCCTGAACTGGAGCCCAGGGGTTAAGATTTGGGGCCAGTGGTTGAGTTTTGGTGCAGGAGCAGGGGAGGGTTTGGGGTCTGTGGCCACTGATGTTGCAAATGGAGAGAAAAGGTCAAGGAGTGCGTCAAGAAGAGAGGTTTGGGATGAAAATCAGAGCTTTAGGGACAAAATGAAGGGAGTGGGGCAAAAAGCATGGCCTGGAGGCAATCACCAATATCGTCACCATTGTTACCAGCAGCCCAGCAACCACTACAATAAGGTATGGCACAGAAATAGGATCCGGAATCCTCGTCCTTGAGGTTGTTCATGGTCAGCGTCACCGAGCTCTGCCCGTTGTCCCTGGAGATCCTGAAATGGCCCTGGACTGAATCCGCATAGCCGGTGTTGCCACCAGTGTTGGTGATCCCTGCGACGAATTCCAGTCCCTGCCCGGGTCGTTGACGCATCCAGCCCATCCCAAATTGTCCAAAATCGAACCCGGCTCCTCGGCAGAGGAGTCGCAGGGGCCCCCTGGGGGGCTGGAGGTCCCCCCCACACTCCAGCAGGGTCACGGCCGCCCGGAGCCCTGCGGGACAAAGGGGAGAGTGGGATGGGAAACCTGATTGGTTCAGGGCCGCAAACTGGGAGGGTCAAGTTGATAAAGTATCGAGACCCACCTGGGATAAGGATGATGAACTCCAAGGGTCCCAATTTGGGGCCAAGAGTCAGGATTTGGGTCAAGGGTTGAGCTTTGGCCCCATCCCCATCTCCCCTTTGTCCCGCAGAGCTCCGGGTGGCCGTGACCCCGCTGGAGTGGGGGGGGGACCTCCAGCCCCGCAGGGGGTCCCTGCGCCTCCTCTGCCGAGGGTCCGGGTTCAGTTTTTGGAGCTACGACATGTTCTGGCTCCGCCAGAGACGCGGGCAGGGGCTGGAATTCGTCGCGTCGATCTACAGCAGTGGTGCTTACACCAACTACGCGCCGTCGGTGCAGGGTCGGATCACGATCTCCAGGGACAACGGGCAGAGCTCGGTGACGCTGACCATGAGCAACCTCAAGGACGAGGATTCCGGATCCTATTTCTCTGCCAAACGTTACACCAGTGGTTGCGGTAATGCTGCTATGCTTATGGTGTTTATGGTGGTTGTTGTCCCAAGCCCTCTCCTCTCTCTTCCCAAGCATTACAGAATTCTCTGATCCTTCCCCAAAATCCTGGCTCTTTTTCTAACATCTTAGATATTTTCCCCCAAACTCCCCCATCACTTCCCCAATTCCCAATTTCCCCTAATTTTGCCCATTCCTCCCCAGTCTGACCCTTCCCCTCCGTCCCAGTGCGGAATGGGGATCACTCTGGGGCCCTTTGCACACAAAGCTTTTTGTGCAGCCGGCGCTCTGCCGCTGCGCCCCGAGGCTGAGTTTCCCTTTGCCAAACACAGATGTTCACAGTGACCAAAACCAGGAACTTTCTGTTTCCTTTCCTGCCCCGGCCGGGCCCCGGCAGCTGCAACGGAGGAAGTGGGGGGAGGCTGCGGAGCCCCAAAATCGCGGCGTCTTCTCCTCCCTCCCTCCCTTTGTCCCACCTGGGGCTTCACAGCTCCCTCAGTGGCCTCAGTGTCTGGGGCTGCTCCGTGGGTCTGGGCTGGAATCCTCTCTGGGAGCTATGGAGAGAAAACCAATTTTAGCCAAAAACACATGAAAAAATTGGGGAAATTGAATTTTTCCACAAATTTTCACATTGATCCCCAGCCAAGGGCTCCATGCTGAGAGAAGCAGAAGGGTGCAAGGGTGTAGTCACCTGGAATGTTCCATTGGTCAAGGGCAGGGTCAGCACGGTCAGGGACAGTCCAGGAGCCAAAATGGCCTTGAATGGGCCCCGAGCTGAGGTGTGGGGCCAGGAGCTGGGAATGTGGGGCAGGGCCAGGGCAGGGTTGGGGCACGGGGACAGTAATGGGGTCAGGGGCTGGGGATTGGGGGAAGGGTCTGGGGAACGGGGACAGGGGGGACACAGCGATAAGGGTGGGGTCAAAACCATCAGCAGCACCATTACCCCAACCATCAGCAGCAGCTTTGGCATAGAAATAGCATCCGGAATCCTCGTCCTTGAGGTTGTTCATGGTCAGCGTCACCGAGCTCTGCCCGTTGTCCCTGGAGATCCTGAACCGGCCCTTGACCGATGGCGCGTAGCCGGTGGCTGCCCCAGTGTTGATCCCTGCGAGCCATTCCAGCCCCTGCCCGGGACTCTGATGGATTCATGACATGTCAAAATTCCCGAAACTGAACCCGGACCCTCGGCAGAGGAGGCGCAGGGACCCCCCGGGAGGGTTGGAGGTCCCCCTGCACTCCAGCAGGGTCAGGGCCGCCCGGAGCCCTGCGGGACAAAGGGGAGATGGGGATGAAGGAAAAAATCCACCCAAATCCTAATTCCTGCATCCAGATCCTGATGTTGGCCACACACTGTGTCCCTTTGTTCTCCTCCCCATCCTGCTGGCCCTCCCAGGTGGGTTGACGTCCCTTTTTGCATCTGGTCACCCCCAGCCCAGCCCACACCCGGATCCGGGGCCTGATCTCCATCTCCCCTGGAGATGAGACCCGGGCAGGGGCTGGAGTGGCTCGCAGGATCAACACTGGTGGCAGCACCGGCTACGTGCCATCGGTCAAGGGCCGGGTCACGATCTCCAGGGACAACGGGCAGAGCTCGGTGATGCTGACCATGAACAACGTCAAGGACAAGGATTCCTGATCCTATTTCTGTGTCAAATCTGGTTATGCTGGTGCTTGGGGTCCTGGTGCTTATGGTGAAGACCCCAGCGGTGGATCCACGCACCCATCTCAGCGTCTCCAGCTGTCCCCCAACCCCCAACATTTCCCCCAATCCTCAGCCCTGGGCCCATCCCCGCTTGGGGGTCTCTGTCCCAATCCCCACCGGGATGGGGCTGTGGGGACCCCTCTGGAGTCGTTCGGTTTCCCACCATCGCTCTCCTCACCGGGCTGTGGCCATGGGGAGGTGCCGGCAACTCACGGCCCCGGCAGCACACACAGAACTCAATGGCACCGCTCACCGCGAGAGGTTTGTGGCCAATCACACAAAGCAAAGGCAGATTGACACGGTGGGGCTGGATCTGGGACGTCCTCGTCAGTTTTGGGGAATGTGGTTGGGACGTGGAGCCCAGAGCTGAGGTTTGGGGCCAAGAGCTGAGATTGGGGAAGAGCCAGTTCAGAGCTGGGACACGGCGACAGGAATGGGGTCAGGGGCTGGGGATTGGGGAAGGGTCTGGGGAACGGGGACAGGGGGGAAACAGCCAAGGGGATGAGGTCAAAACGACAGGCGTCATTAGCAGCAGCATTGTTATAATAACCCCTGGCACAGAAATAGGATCCGGAATCCACGACCTTGAGGTTGTTCATGGTCAGCGTCACCGAGCTCTGCCCGTTGTCCCTGGAGATCCTGAACCAGCCCTTGACCGACGATGCATACAAGGTCCTGCCACCACTGCTGATCCCCGCGAGCCACTCCAGCCCCTGCCCGGGTCTCTGACGGACCCAGCTCATGGACTGACCCCCAAAATTGAACCCAGATGCGCGGCACAGCAACGTCAGGGACCCCCCTGGGGGCTGGAGGTCCCCCCGCACTCCAGCAGGGTCACGGCCACCCGGAGCCCTGCGGGACAAAGTGGAGATGATTAAAAATGAGAAATGTGATTGCTCCAGAAGGGGAAAAGGTGCGTGTGCTCCAGGAAAAAGGGGCGGAGCCCACCTGGGAGAGCCAGCAGGAGCAGCAGGACCTGGAGCCAGGGGGAGCTCAGGGCCAAGCCCGGGATGTGCCGGGGTTGGGGTCCCGGAGGGGTTTGGGGGTTTTTGACGTGGTATTGCGTTTGAAATCAATGTGGAACACTCAGGAAAAGGTGTCCAATTAATTAATGAGAATATTGAGTAAACTTGCAGATTTTGAGGAATGTCAGGATACCCGAAAAAATCTGGTGGAGATTTGGGACCAAACCAGTGAAGTTATGAGTGAAATTGGTGAAGATTTGGGGATGGGGGAGCAGCCGTGACCCTGCTGGAGTGCGGGGGGGACCTCCAGCCCCCCGGGGGGTCCCTGTGCCTCCTCTGCCGGGGATCCGGGTTCAGTTTCGGCAGTTTTTCCATGCAATGGGTCCGACAGCGACCCGGGCAGGGGCTGGAATGGGTCGCGGGGATCAGGAGCGATGGTGCTGACACTGGCTATGCGCCATCGGTCAGGGGCCGGGTGAGGATCTCCAGGGACAACGGGCAGAGCTCGGTGACGCTGACCATGAACAACCTCAAGGACGAGGATTCCGGATCCTATTTCTGTGCCAAATGTGCTGCTGCTGGCAATTGGGGCGATGCTGCTGCTTATGCTGAAGACACCAGTTGTGGATGCACCCCCGTCCCCATGTCCCCCCCGTTTCAGGTCCCCAGACCCTTCCCTCAAACCTTACCCATTGACTCAGATCTTGACCCTTTGTCCCCAATCTCCTCCATTTGCCCAATGGTCAGCACTGACCCCAAACCCTCCCCTTCTCCTCCCCCAAAACTCAACCATTGGCCCCAAACCTTCACCCCTGGCCTCCAGTTCAGGCCTCCTCCAATCAGGGCCCCGGGAGCTGGGGGAGATTTGGGTGAAATGGGCAAAACTGGGGAGACAATCGAGACTAGGGGAAGGATGGGGCAAAGTTTGGGGGAAAATGGTGAAGGTTTGACACAAAGGACTGGGATGCCGGGGAAGGATCTCTGGGCATTGGAGACATTTTTTGACCAACATGGGGGTGGTCCGCTAACAGAATTGTCAGCAATAAGAGCAGGACCAGAAAAACTATAATCATTATTGCTACGTTTGGCACAGAAATAAACGGCGGAATCCTCGTCCTTGAGGTTGTTCATGGTCAGCGTCACCGAGCTCTGCCCGTTGTCCCTGGAGATCCTGAACCGACCATTGATTGATGGCGCGTGGTGGGTGGTGCCAACACCATTGATACTTGCGAGGTATTCCAGTGTCTTCCCAGATTTCTGGCGAATCCAGAACATTCCATAATTCCCAAAATCAAACCCGGACCCTCTGCAGAGGAGGCGCAGGGACCCCCTGGGGGGCTGGAGGTGCCCCCCGCACTCCAGCAGGGTCACGGCCACCCGGAGCCCTGCGGGACAAAGGGGAGATGGGGATGAGGAACCTGATTGGTCGAGGGCCTCAAACCAGGCGTGGCCATATAGAAAATGGTGTGGGACCCACCTCGGAGGGCCAGCAGGGGCAGGAGCACACACCTGCTCCTCCCAACCGGTTCGGGAGGAATTCCTCAGAAATGAGTAGTAAGAACCTGTTTATTTTACAGGCACAGCACCCCCCAGCACAGAAAATAAACAACACCAGATGACGCCACTCCTTCATTGCTCTGAAAAAGATGACAAGTTCAGAAAGTCTCCCTCAGGGGTGGTCGCTCTGTTATCAGTCCCTCCGGTGCTGGGGCAGCTGCTGCAGCCACAAGGTGCAAACTCTCGATGTTTCCCAGGTCCCAGTCCAGAGCAGGTCCAAAAAAGGGAAAGGAGAAAGAATCCAGGGAAAATTCTGATTGCCAAGTTGAACTAACTAAAGAGCAGGAGCAAAAAGCAAGAGCAAAATGTTCCCTGCGTACTGCCCCGTCTCTGTGTGCCACCAACTGCTGGGGGAGTGAGCAGGCTGATAATGAAACAAAACAAAACAAGAAAAACCAAACCAAACCAGATCAAAACAAAAACCAAAACATTCTCTCTTAAAGGCAGTCTTAAGGGCGCGGATCATAACATCCAGCATAAAAAGAAAAATTACAGGGGATGCAAGCATCCTAATGACACCCGGGGGCAACACAGAGTCAAGAACAGGATCAAAGGCCAAGCTTTGGGGCAAAACTCGAGAGTTTGGGGACACAATTATGAGTGAGGATCAAATACCAGAGCTGCAGGCCATGGCCAGTACCGTCACTATAAGCACCACTAGGCCAACAACTGGTACAAGAAGATTTGATGCAGAAATAGGATCCGGAATCCTCGTCCTTGAGGCTGTTCATGGTCAGCATCACCGAGCTCTGCCCGTTGTCCCTGGAGATCGTGACCCAGCCCCTGAACGATGGCACGTAGTAAATGTTGGAACCATTGCTCCTGATAGCCGCGACCCATTCCAGCCCCTGCCCGGGTCTCTGGCGGACCCATTGCAAGGCAAAACTGCCGAAACTGAACCCGGACCCTTGGCAGAGGAGGCGCAGGGACCCCTCGGGGGGCTGGAGGTCCCCCCCGCACTCCAGGAGGGTCACACCCGCCCGGAGCCCTGAGGGACAATGGGGAGATGGGGATGGGAAACCTGATTGGTCCAGAAGGGGAAAAGGGGCGTGACTTCTGAGGAAAAAGGGGCGAGACCACCTGGGAGGGGCAGCAGGGGCAGCAGGGCCAGGACCCGGAGGGAGCTCAGGGCCAAGGCCGGGATGTGCCGGGGTTGGGGTCTTGCGGATTTTGGGGGTCATGAGCTTTTAATTGTGCAATCAGTGGAGAAGGATCAGAAGGAGGTTTCCAATTAATTAAGGAATGGGTTGGGGTTAATTGCACGATTTGATGCAAGTTATGATGCAGAAAATCTCTGGTAGAGATTGGGGACCAAACAACCAGAGTTTGACAAAAAACAGCGAAGGTTTGGGGATGGGCTCCGGGCAGCCGTGACCCTGCTGGAGTGCGGGGGGGACCTCCAGCCCCCAGGGGGGTCCCTGCGCCTCCTCTGCCGAGGGGCCGGGTTCAGTTTTGGGAGTTTTGGGATGGGCTGGTATCGACAGAGACCCGGGCAGGGGCTGGAAGCAGTCGCAAGTATCAGCAGCAGTGGCAGCGCCTACTATGCAGATTCGGTCAAGGGTCGATTCACGATCTCCAGGGACAACGGGCAGAGCTCGGTGACGCTGACCATGAACAACCTCAAGGACGAGGATTCCGGATCCTATTTCTGTGCCAAACGTGCTTATGCTGATAATTGGAGTCCTGGTGCTTCTGCTCAAGACGCCCATGTTGGATGCCTCCCCATCTCAGTGTCCCCTCCTGTCCCCAATCCCCAGACCCTTCCCCCAAATCTCAGCCCTTGACCCCATTCTTGAGCCTTTGTCCCAGATCTCCCCCTTTTCCACCACCACCAACCAGGAAGCAAAAACCCCCAAACTGGTTGTGCCCCAAACCCAACTAAGCTGGCAACAAAACTCGCCCGATTCTTCCCGAAATCCCCACTTTGGGCTCCCTGCAGCAGCAGCCGCTGACACAAATCCTCAACCTTTGTCCCCAAATCGGGACTCTAGGCCCCAAACCCCGACCTGCAAAGCAAAGTTTGTGGCACAAAGAGGAGATTTGGGGTCAGGAGTTGTGGTTTGGGGTCAGCAGGTGAGAATTGGGGCCGAGGCAGAGCAAGGTTGGGATCAGGGGTGAAGGACTGGGTGTGGGTTGGGGGTGTGGGGAAAGGGTCTGGGCAACAGGGACAGGGCGGGGACACAGCCATGGGGATGGGGTCAAAATGGTCAGCACCAGCAGAACCATTATAGCAACCACCATCAACACATTTGGCACAGAAATAGGATCCGGAGTCCTTGTCCTTGAGGTTGTTCATGGTCAGCGTCACCGAGCTCTGCCCGTTGTCCCTGGAGATCCTGAAATGGCCCTGGACTTATGAGGCGTACATGGTGCCACCATCGCTCCAGATCGCTGCCACCCACTCCAACCCCTGCCTGGGTCTCTGGCAGATCCAGAACATGGTGAAACTGCCGTCATCGAACCGGACCCTCGGCAGAGGAGGCGCAGGGAACCCACAGGGGGCTGGAGGTCCCCCCCGCACTCCAGCAGGGTCATGGCCGCCCGGAGCCCTGCGGGACAAAGGGGAGATAGAGATGAGGCCAAAGCCCAACCCTTGACGCAAATGCTGACTCTTGTCCCAAATTGGGACCCTTGGAGTTCATCACCCTCCTCCCAGGTGGGTCCCATCCTGTTTTATTACAGGCCATTCCCTCTTTGAGACCCTGGACCAATCAGGTTTCCCATCCCCATCTCCCCTTTGTCCCGCAGCGCTCCGGGCGGCCATGACCCTGCTGGAGTGCGGGGGGGACCTCCAGCCCCGCGGGGGGTCCCTGCGCCTCCTCTGCGAGGGTCCGGGGTCAATTTTGGCAGTTTCACCATGTACTGGGTCGGCCAGAGACCCAGGCAGGGGCTGGAGTGGGTGGCAGGGATCTACAACACTGGTGCTTACACCTACTACGCGCCATCGGTCAAGGGCCGGGTCACAATCTCCAGGGACAATGGGCAGAGCTCGGTGACGCTGACCATGAGCAACCTCAAGGACAAGGATTCCGGATCCTATTTCTGTACCAAATGCTATGCCAGTAGTTGTGCTGATGCTAGTGCTGGTTATGGTGTTGATGGTGGTTGTGGTCCCAAGCCCTCTCCCCTCTGTTCCCAAATAACTCAGAATTCTCTAATCCGTCCCCAAAATCCCCATCCCTGTTTCTCAAATCTTGACAATTTCCCCCCAAACTCCACTGTCACTTCCCCAGTTCCCAGTTTCCCCTAATTTTTCCCATTCCTCTCTAGTCTGGCCCTTCCCCTCCGTCCCAGTCTGGATCGGGGATCGCTCCAGGGCCCTTTGCACACAAAGCTTTTTGTGCAGCCGGCGCTCTGCCGCAGCGCCGAGAGGCTGAGCTGCCCTCTGACAAACACAGATGTTCACAGTGACCAAACCCAGGAACTTTCTGTTTCCTTTCCTGCCCCGGCCGGGCCCCGGCAGCTGCCACGGAGGAAGTGGGGGGAGGCTGCAGAGCCCCAAAATCGCGGCGTCTGCTCCTCTCTCCCTCCCTCGCTCCCACCTGGGGCTTCACTTCTCCCTCAGCGGCCTCGGTGTCGGGGGCTGCTCCGTGGGGCTGGGCTGGAATCCTCTCAGGGAGCTCTGGAGAATAAACCCACATTTTTACCCAAAAACACCTGAAATTTTGGGGAGATGAAACTGTTTAAATTGATCTCGAGCCAAGGGCTCCATGCTGAGAGAAGCAGATGGGACCATGGGTGGATTCACCAGGAACGTTCCATCGGTCACGGGCAGGGTCAGCACGGTCAGGGACAGCCCAGGAGCCAAAATGGCCCCGAATGGGCCCTGTCGGAGGAAGGAGACCCAGACACCAATTGGTTCATACAAGTCTGATTTATTGATCAATACGGCGGGTTAAATACAGTTCTTAATAAGCTTCATGCATATTGCAAAATTTGAGCTCAGGATTGGTTAGTTACATCTCAGCAACTACACCTACTTCTACATTCTTGTGCTTATTCTTCTGTTACATTCTGCAGATATTCAGGACTAATCTCACCTCCCTTTCCTCATGTTGCAGCAAGGCCATCCGGCATTCTTGCCTGTCAGCAGTCACTGAATCAGAGACTGCTGACCTCCCTTTCAAGCTTAACCGGCGGCATTATGGCAGGATGGCCTTTCTCAGCTAACCAACTCTTAATAAAATCCTCCACATTTCCCCCATTTTCTTCTTGAGCAAGAAGACTAGTCTGCATTTTTGCTATCATACGGCTAACCATGTTTTGAATACAAGTAAAGATACGAGGCAAAATAAGCAAAAACATTAAGATCACACCCAGTAAGCCGATAGCATATGTCACAATGTTCCTTAGCCATGGTCCAAGCCCTAGGTTTTTAAGCCATTCGTCAATTCCTAAACCTTCTTCTTCTTTGAGATGGTTGAGGCCCTGTTGCAGTTCTTTTATCTTGGTATGAATGGACACCGAATGATCAGACAAACTCATGCAACACATTCCCTCAAACTCTTCACATCCATGCCCTTGTGCTAAGAGCAAAAAATCTACAGCAGCTCTATTTTGTAAAACAGCATGGTTAACACTCTGCACATCTGTGGTTAACATGTCTAGAATTTGGGATGTCTTGTTTAGCTCATTTTTTGCCCAGCACCCTAATTGCTTTGCT